CATCAGAGTCACTTACCTGCATACAGGGGGGCCTTCCTCCAGGCTGAAAGGGAACACACGGTGGTGAGACCACAGCTAAAACAAGTCTGCTCAGCATGAATGTACCTGCCCTGGCCTCCCCTCCATTCTAAAGATGAGACTACCCACAGGAAGAGTCAGAAAGAGATGGCCTCATGCAGCATACAGGGACTGCAGGGTGTTGTGGGAAATCCCCTGGTCCACAGATGAGGACAGCGGCTTTACAGGCCAAGACAGCGGCTTTACTGCCATTGCCCCACTGATTTCTATCTGTCAGAAAACCATCTGTCTCAAAACTCATAAAAGTCCATATTCTATTTGTCTTTATTCAGTTTTGCCACTAAGGATAAAAATTATGCTATGTTTAAAAATATTTGAGAGAATAAAATATAATTCACTCTGCAATTGTCAGGGGTATTATTATTATATCCAGGATTTTTCTGGCAAAGATATATTTGAAAAGGGGTTGGGATGTACACCGTGGTAGAGGGCTTGTGAAGCATTCACGAGGCTCCAGGTGCATGCCTCAGCACCACAAAATGAAAAAAAATAAAATTTAAATTTGAAAAGACACTTGGGAGATTACCAAATATGAAGAATGATTTAGAGACAGCAATGAGTTCTGGGGTAAAACTGCCCAATTTTTCACTTTGGCAAATATTTCTAGACAATAAGAACCAGTTTTTAGGAAGTACTTGGTTCACTCTACCACATTTCCACCTGTGATGAGCAGCCCCCTTGAATTAGCACCTTCAGGAGCTAGAGAAAACATAATCCCTCACTGGCAATTTGTGGGGACACAAACAGAAGGTCACACTTCTAAACTTAATGACACCATTTATTTATATAGATCATTTAATAAAATCATACTATATGCCTTTAATCTTTTAGGTGGAGTCCAACAGCTAGATGCATTGAATGAAAAAAAAAAAACAAAATAATGGGCAATCCAGGGTTGAAATAAGATGCAGAATACATGACACACCATGGGTCACCATCACACCTAGGTTGCCAAGCACTAGGTAGGAAATAGCAGCCAAGGTCTAAGAAAGTCCAGGGACCAGTGTTCTGGCTTCCACTAGCTTCCCAAGGATGGGGCCCCACATGTCTGTGCCTAGACAGAAACAAGTACATGGGACACCAGGACACAGATAACATAAGGAAACAAGCATTATCTGGAGAGTCACTTACCAGACAGATAAGCAGCTTTCCTCTGATCTGAAAAATAAGAAAGAAGGGAGCTTGGAACTAGAACATGTGCTACCAAGGACACAGAAAATTCAGAAAGGAAAGAGGAACTTACTGAGGTCTGCCTCGAGATCATCTAAAAAAAAATGAAAAAAAAGTATGAACACCCATCCCCAAGAAAAGGAAAGACTGTGCCTGGAAAAACCTAGGAATAATGTTTCTGTTCACTAGAATTTCTAACTACAAAACCACCCAACCCCACCAGTCTCTAACTCTCCACTCTGATCTCTTCAGTCACCTCTTCTGGGCCCAGGACCATGGGTCTCCCTGGAGAGCTGGACCCCAGACTCTGGCCCCTGTCAGCTGTCCCACTCACCACCAGGTCTGCACTTGCCCTGTTCGATCTTACCAATGGCCTTCAGCACCTCTTCCTTTGCCTGCTGTTCCTCCTCCTTAAGCCGCCGCAGATCCTCCTTTTCCTGCCTCACCTGCATCCTTCTGGAATGTTCTTTTCTGTTAAAATAGCCAGCCCCCAAGAGTAGGAGCCCCAGCATGGTCAGGATCACAGCAAATGCTGGCTTCCAGGGAGAAGCCTGAGGGAAGAAGGGCTCTGTGGCCAGGCAGACAGCAGGTCAGGGGCACACCCAGGAGAGCCAGCACACTCAGAGAGGCCAGCCCTCCCCACAGCTCTGCTGGGAGTGGCCAGCAGCACTGACCTGGGATGTAAATAGCCATGGCCTTCTCCTGGTCCAGGACAGCATTAAGGACAGAGCAGGTCACATTCCCCACAGAACTGTCTCTCACCACCAGAGTGGCCTCCACAGTAAACAGCTCCTCACTATCTTGGGTGTGGGCCTCAGAAAGTGCTGGGAACTTGTTTCCACTGAGGTCTCTCCACTGCACCTGGGGCTTTGGGAACCATCCTGAGGCTTTGCACACCACACGCACTCCATCCTCTTCTGGTCCTTCTATGTGCACTTGGGGGTCAGAGCCCATACCTGTGGGAAGAAAGCTGTGGAGCCCCAGGAGGCCACCTTGGGCCCTGAGACCCCAGAGTTGCCTAGATATCACAAAACTTCAGAGGGAAGGATTCATGTTGAATTCTGGGAATTCTATGGGAAGAGGGAAGGAAAGGAAGGAGCACAGGGACTCACACAGGGCAGTGGGCTCTTCTCCCCAACTGTGAAGCCAAGGCAAACAGGAAGAATTTGGTCCCAGGACTCCCTCCTTGAATCTCACTCTTCTCACCCTCACACACTCTCCTGGGACATCTGCCTCTCTGTATATCATGTCCAAAATTATATTGAGTGACCACCTTGTCTCCTGAATTCTCTTCTCCTACACCCATGTTCCCATGAGTTATCTTTACTCAGTTCCCTCACATATACCTCAAACTCAAAACTCTAAACTGAATTCAGAAACTTGGACCACTTGTGATAAAACAAAAATTAAAATCTCCCTAATTCCTCACCCTTCTTTATACCTAGTTCTCCCACTTCCACACACTTTTTACAGCCTTTACCTTCTGCCTCTGGGCCCAGGCATGGGATTTGATTTACCCAATGAGAAATTAGCTAATGTGACTTGTGCAGAGGTTTGAAAAGCACTTGCACCTTGGTTTTACTCTCTGTCATTTCCACAGGAGGAGAATCCTGGGCTACCCAGTGGAGAATTGGCTCCTATGACATTGCCTGGTCAACCTGCTACAGCTGCCCTAGTTCAGCCAAATGACCACCTAAAACATGAGCACACCCAACCAAGACGCACCTGGTGAACTTTTCAGCTGACTTAAGAATAAAAATTACAAGTAAAAAGCTTAATTCTCCCTGTTGAATAAAAAATTTTATTCTTTTTTCTTATACCATTTGCTTTAGGAAATGTCAATGACAAATAGGTACTTTCTCCTCTTTTGAAATGTTTATATATGATTTTGAAAACTGGTTAGGTTTTCTGCCAGCTTTGTGGCTCAGAAATGCCCTTCTCAAGGCCCTGGGAACCATTTCTTTGAAATGTAAACATCAGGGAAGATAGCAACACTTTGCCCCCTTTTTGTGGAAAGATAGGAGCCCAACATATGTGGGTATCTTGCTCCAAGATGTAAAACTGCTTCCTGTCATAAAGCTGGAGGAGTTTATTTTGCTTCCAGATAAAGCCTATTAGATGACACAGAAGGTCTCCCAAACTACCAGGTAAATTTAGGATGAGTTATATGGTACAACAGTGCTTTGAGCTGTCTTAGTTGAGGATTACTCATTGTTCATCTTGAAAACAAATATACAGGAGATTATATATGATTGGCTCTAAAGAGAATGATGAAATTATTTTTCTGGTTGTGTAATCCATTCACAGATCACCATACTATGAATCACACTCTGGTTTGATGCTTATTCAGTAATAAAAGTGTTTTCTCTTAGCATGGAAGGGATATTCTGGTTGTAATTATGTTTCTGAAATATGACCAAAGATGTGAGTAAACCCAGGTGAGATAAGCCAAGTTCAGCCCTAATTAGTTGAACTCACTTAGTGCCTGAATTAAATACATTTTTATTGCCAAATGCACCTGAGATTGTGGCTGTTTGTTACACAGCATTATCACAGCAGTAGAACTGCGGCATAATTATCAATAGTCCTGCCACGAAACAACAAATGGTTCAAATGAAATCCTGGAAGTCTCTGAACTCTTTTCCTCCCCTTACAAACTCTGCGCCCACAAATCTACTCAGTTGTCTCTAGTTTCTAAACCTGTCTGACCCCTGATCTCCCATCCCACTGCCATGCCTCAGGTCAGGCACTCATTCTCTCCACATCATAACTGCACTCCATGCCTCCTTCTTGCCCACCTCCAATCCTCCCATTCACAGCTGCCAACATGAGCATTCCCAGCATGGCTCTGTTTAGGATTCCCCATATTCTGCATCCAAAATCTATAACACAGCACACAAAACCTTTACTGATCTGGTAACTGCCTTACTCTCCAACACTTGTCCCCAAACTCCACCATCTGAGACCCTCAGGGCCCACATAATCAATCCCAAGAACTATCTGTTCAAATGCAAGTAGCCACAATCACCATGTTGTCTGTCCTCTGCCTTTTCACCTTCCAGCCCATCAACATCCAGGGCTCTTGTGCCAGCCCAGGTGTCCACTCCTAATGATCTCATCCTGACACCTGTGAGTGGTGTTAATACAGGACCATCTCTTTACTCCAGTATTGCTACTTTCCTCACTCCTCCTACCAACAATGATGGCTTCATTATACCCAAAATAATCAACCATACTCCTACTTCAAAGGTTTCATATCAGGTGATCCCTCTGCATTAAACTCTGGCCCCACAGATATCCACCTGGCTAAATACCTACTTCCTTTGAGCCTTGCTTAGACTGTCAATAAGGCTCTGCCCAAGCCCCTATGTAACACTACAGCTTGTCCTAACTTCTCAGCCCACATCCTGTGCCCCTTTCTTAATTCTATTTAGTCTTTTGTCTTAAGTAATTATCACCTTATCACATCTTATACTGAGTTATTTATTATAATTTTTCTTCCTTTGTATCTTGAAAGTAAACTCCTCATGGCTGGGATCTCTGTTACACTGATATATCTCTGGGCACAGGATAAGTCCTCACATATTTTAGATGCCCCTAAACAGTGCTTGTATTGAATCAATGAATAAAAGAAAGCCACTTTTTTCTTTCATTTCACCTTTAAAAATGTGAGGCTTAATTTGAATAATTCTTGATATTCCTACCAAACCCAGTACTCCCAAGGTCTCTAGAATAGACATCAAGAAACTAACCTGCCACCTTCACTTCCAAATCAGCCTCTTCATAGAAGCCTCCATGTCTGAAGTAGCAGGTGTACATTCCATTGTCAGAAACCTGGACCTTGTGGATGTGCACAGAAGCCTGCCCTTCTGAAAGGAAGTCCTTCACCAGTGAGGTCCGCCCTCTGTACTCAGCCATCTGCTCCTCAGTCTGTTCTTGTTGGTTCCAGTAGATGAACACTGCCTTTGAGAGTGTGGTGCGGAACCACCCCAGTTCCATGTTCTCTGCATTCATGGCTGGGAATAGGGCGCAGGGCAGTATGGCATCCTCACTCAGCACTGCCACAATGGGGTGTTCAGGGCCAATAACCTGGAACTGCTCTGTGAACACAGAAATAGGGGAAAGGAAGCTAGAGAGACACAGACAAAAAAAAACAGAGAACACACAACATCAGGTGGAAAGTCCAGGAAAGGTGGGGCAGGGGCCACATGAGATGTCCCCTACAGTCTGATAGATTTGGAAAAGGTCTTCTGATCATAATGGTGTGGACAGAAATGATGTCAAGGACAATCTCTCATTGTCTTCTGCTCCTGGTCCCAGGCCCTTCCATGAAGTAATCTCTAATTCAGTGGTTCTCAAGCTTTCATGCCCCTGAGCCACTAGGATGCCTTATAGAGCACACAACACTGGACCCCACTCCAGAGCATCTCATTCACTAGATCTGGGGTGGACCAATGAATGTACATGTACAAGAAGTTCCAAGGGTGGTCTGGGGAGCACACATTGTGAATCCCATGTCAAACTTGTCCTGTCTCAGGACAAACCTCAAAACTGACAAAGAGCACACCTGACCAAAGGTCAACTCTCCTTGGTCATTCAGCCACACCCAGGAAATTCCCCTCTTCCAATTCTAAATTTTTTACTTCAGACTATATTTTTCTCCTCCACTGAGGGAGGAGAGAAATACATATGCACTTTAAAACACAGAGTCAAATGCTACATACTGCTGTGAAGATCCTGCTCTCATTCACAGAAACCCCCATCACTGCATGTTCAAGAAGCAAGTTCACATCACTCTCCACCCCCTTGGTGCTCCTGGGCTTCTGAGGCTACCACATGACTCCTCTGCAGGATATGCTGCAATGGGCCTCCAAAGAGCTACTCTCAAACCCTGGGTCTCTCCACTCTGGTCTCAGCCACCTTTAAATCTCAACTGGAGGATGACTAACATTCCTGATCTCAGTGATCCTTTTAACATGTGAGCTTATCCATGCTGCTGCTCTGCTCAAAGCCACCACATGACTTCCACTTCTCCCCAGGCCTGACAAGGTGGACCCTGCTTCCCAAGACCCCTCTGAACTCACGTGCTGCTTCTCTCCCCATGGGCTCTAGTTCAACAACACTGGCCTCTGTGCTTCCTCACACCTCAGCACACTGCCAGCTCTGCATGACCTCCTCCTGCAGGAATCCTTCTTCTAAATGGTTCTACAGCTCACTCCTCCTTCTCCAGGGTTATGTTCCCATCTACACACCACCTCACTGAACACTGCTGCCTGCCCACGCCTGCCTCCCATGTCCCTGACTGCCCACACCCTGCCCTGCTGCATTTCCCATCATGGTCATCTCCTCCAACACACTTAGGCCTCTCTACCTACTATTACTCACTCTCTCCAACTAGAAGGCAAATTTTATGACAGAATTTCTGTCTGATTCTTTCATAGAATTCCACCTAACAATCAACATTTCATTAATATTTCAGGAATAAAATGAAAGAATTAACGCTTGCAGCATACACACACACACACAAAAAGGCAAGAAAACAAAAATTGAGGAAAAATATACTTTCAAATGGTTTAAAAACACAAAGTAAGACCAATGGGGACACTCACCCATGGACAGCTGGACAAGGAGAAGCAGGGAAGTGAGACAGCAGAGCAAGGAGCGACTGCAGCGCCCTTCCATATCTTTAGAGCTGGGGAGAGAGACAGGATGAGGGCCAAGACCTGCAGGCAGGAGGCAGGTCCAGCCCAGAGCTCCAGCATCTCAGCATAGAGTGCAGGGCTCAGGACTGGACAGCAGTCCCCTGCTGGAGCAAAGCATTTCCTAGTGGCACATCATACTAACAGGGTGCTAGGCCCCCCACAACCCTGATACTGACAAACAGCTGAGCCCAGGATCCTTCCAGCTCTTCTGAGAAGATTGTGGTATCAGGAAACCATTAGAATTCCCTGGTAAGAAAATGTTCCTTTCTTTCCCAGGCCAACTCAGGGCAGCTCTACTCATCCCAGAACACCAGGCTCTTCCATTCCCCATACCTGGAGCACTGTGGTGGAAGCCATTCCTATATCTCTCCGTTATTCACACACCACTCATGACCCCCCAGAAAGGAGGGCCCAGATTCAGGGCTCTCATCAGGAAGGACATCCAGCTCCTGCTTCTCTCTTGTTCTGCCCCCTAATTATGTCCAGGTTTGGCCTGGACAGTGTAAGAGACAGACACATCCTCAAGGAGGCTGTGGTGCCCATCACAGGAGCCCAGAACCCTGCCCTGACTTTTTAGATGGGGAGTTCACCTAAACCTTAATCTCACCAATCCCTTCCACTGTGGGCTCAGGACATGATGCTTCATTGGCCGCACATATCCCCACCAACAGGTTTGTCCTTGCCTTCTGTTTCTTCAAGAAATATTTTATCCTGAGAGGTAAGGGACCCTTCCTGGAGACAGAGCATAGAGCTAATGAGGCCTGGTCAGAGAAAAGACCCCAAATCACCTACTGTTTGGAAGTGGCAGGGAGAAGGCAGTCTGTGGTATTGGGAAGAACAAAGTCTGGGAGCCAACTTCTAGGCTGTCCTCCAGGCTCAGCCACTCTCCAAATGAACTTCTTGGCCTCCATTTCCTTATCTGTATGATGGGCATACTTACAACATCTACCCCCCAAGTTTGTAATGAAAATGAGGTGAATTTGTAGTCACTACATGTAATTAAAACAGGGCCTGGGCCCAGAAAATGTTACAGAAATATCATTAAAACAAATGAATATAGGAACAACCCTCATTAAGCTTCTCCTGGTTCTTCCTAGAACAAGATTGTCCCACCTGCCCACTCCCACTGCCTCTCACACCAGCTCATCCGCAGCTTCTTTCTGCCACCAGCTTCTCCCTGGTTTCCTCCTCTTAGGTCACAGGTGTCTTCAAAGCCGACTTACCTGCTTCTCTGTTCTCCCACCTATGAAAGGCTGTGACTTCCTGGAGCGTCTCTAAACACAGCAGCTGGAGATAGGTCAGAGTCACAAGGACCCCAGCAGGCCCCAAAGCTGCCCTCAGAATTTGCAGCTGCCCCAAACTGCACTTAGAGCCGTACCCTCTGCTTCTGAGTCCAATGCTGGGGGCCCAAATTCCTCATTTCCAAAAGGCAGTTGGTCCCCAGGAATAGGGGGAAAAAGCAGAGCCATACATAAGTTGCAGTGGTCTCTGCAGAGTCTCTGACACTGGGGCCCCCACTAAGCCCTCCCAGTTAGAGGAGCAACCCCTCTCTGCTCCTTCCAACATCTAAAGTGAAAGCTTGCAAAAGGATCTTGGGCAGAGTGTGCCCTGCCCTCTGGACATCGCTCCCTTTACCAGGAAGAAGGCAGCAGAGCAGAGCAGCAAAAAGAGGGTACCCACAATTTTCCTGGAACACTGCAGAACAACCCACTTAGAGGTGAAATGCCACAACCACCCAACAATGCCACCACCAATCCCTGCCCTAAGGGTGAACTCTAACTTGGAAATGTTAGGGACATGATACAAAAATAAGAAAACAAAATTATATCAAATCCCTACTAAGTATCTAGAATTGTGCTACATAAATTTTACTTATGGTTCTCATTATTACAATTGCAGAGATAAAGCCATGAGCCCTGCCATCTGATAACATGAATCTAGTAACTTCCTAGAGGAAGGAGAGGCTAGATGTGCCAGGAGACTGCCTCCCACCACCACATCTCCAGCCCAGCCCAGCCCCCTGCCCAAGGTAACTCAAGTGAGCAAGATCCTGAAAGGGACCTTGGACTCTTAGTAGCCTCAATTACAGAGCCAGAAAGCTTATCTCACCCTGACCTGAGCATTCTCCCTCCCAAGGTTGCCCTATGTCCTCCATTTGGGGAGGAGGGGGTAGAAGCAGTGACAAAGTGCAGGTCAGGTCTCCTTAAAGAACACTGGCAGAATCCTTGACCAGCACTGGCAGGGGACACCGGACATCAGCACTGTCCTCTCCCAGCTCATCAGGATCACCGTTCACCTGCTTTGACAAGAAACACTATTCAGTAAACCACAAATAATTTTCTTGTATAAACCTAAATGATCCTAATACTACTGAGGTTAATATTAACTTTCTTTTATGACCAACATGTAATAAATACCTCTTATCTTTTCCCATATTAAATGTTTTCTAAATAGCTTTGTATAATTGCCAAAACCATAAAACAATGGTTAATGTAAAATGTATTAAATTCATTGAGATTCTAAAAATGTGACAGTTGATATAAAGTATTTAACTCTCCCATACCCCCAATTCAGTTCATACTGCGGATTGAACACATCCTGAAATATCCAACCACCAGTATCTGAGAGACCTCCTTATGCCTCTCTCTCTCAGTGGAGCCAGGCCCTGGCCCAGCCCCACCCTGAATTCAGCTACTGAGCCCTCCTGGCTGGAGCACCTGCCCCACCACCTTCTGCAAGAGCGATTCACCCGTTCCTCATCTGAGATTCCAGGGACATAAAGTATCCCTCCACTAAAGCCCTGAGATAGAGAAGGGTAAGGGAGTGAGGCTAGAGGGAGAAAAATATACGTGCCTATAGAAAATTGAGTGAAATGTATTAGACTAATGAAAAGCAAACAATAAATAAAAATTTAAAAGGAAAAGACAGCCAACTGAGAGAAAGCTACCATAAAAAGAAAGGAGCAGGGCTGAGTGTGTGGCTCAGTGGTGGAGCCCTTGGCCAGCACATGGGTTCGATCCTCTGCACCTCATAACAGTAAATGAAATAAAGGTATTGTGTCCATCTACAACTAAAAATATTTTTTTTAAGAAAAGGAAGGCTGGAAGGTCAGACCTGGCATTTGGTCTGCCTATTTGGAGATGTGACACCAGAATGGACACATTGGCCCAGAGTATCTGAAACATGTTCCCCAGTTACTCCAAGTCAGATCAGCTGAGCCAGCATAGGCACTGACCATATGTGTGACCCATCAGTGACCTGGAAAGAATTTACTGATGTTCCCAATCCCAGGTAGGTCAGGCCCATGTATGTTCAAGGGTGAAACAGGTGAGTCCCAGTGGAGGGATTTCAGAACTGGATCATGGAAAAAGGCCTAGAGGTCTCAAAGGTTGACCTCTGCCCCTCAGAGAAGTAGAGGGGGGCCCAGGGCAAGAGAGGCCCTGTCTAGCCCCAAGAGGCACATTCTAACACTCCCTAGAATGGTGCACACCTTGTTCCTGTCCTGTCACAGAGACTCCTCCTCTCAGGCACAGACAGGGCCTCTGCTCTCCAATAACCACCAAGAAATACTTAGGCACGCCATTCACTGAGGGTCATTTTACCTTGAACATTTTATACCTCATTCCCACGATGATTTAGTACAATACCATGAGGTGGGTTCTCACTGTCCTCATTCTAGAGCTGAAGGATAGTGTCTCTACAATAGTGGAAGCTATCCAAGGTCACAGGGTCACATGGACTAACACTGACAGGGGCAGGTCTGACCCAAGGCACAGTGTAAATCTGAAAGAGTTGGGGTTACCAGCACTTGGAATGCTCCAGGGACTTGGTGGGTGGGGGCAAAAGGGAAGGAAAAGAGTACATCAGAACACCTATCATAAAAATTTTACCCTTATATCTATTTGTTCTTATACGCTGAATAATATGTGTACATATTTGTTAGCTGCATTTTCAAAATACATAACTTTTAAGGAGGGCATGTGAGGTTGGTGTTGTGGTTCAGTGGGAGAGCACTTGCCTAGCATGTGTGAGGCACCTAGTCCAACAGTCAGCCCCACATATAAATAAATAAAATAAAAGTTCATTGACAAATAAAAAAAATTTTTAAAAAAAGGAAGGCATGTCCAGAACCATTTGGAAACTCCCTCCCAGAGAGGAAGGAATGACAAGATCCAGCAATAGGGTGCACCATGGATGCCAGATCACTCTTGGGCCAATGGAAAGGCCACCCATGCAGTAGCACCCAGTTTCCTCGGCTTCTGCTGCCCCCTTGTGGCTAGAATGTGGCAGAGAGAAAGCAATTTCCAGAAGGAAGACAGAGAGGTATGAACGTGCAGACAAGAAATCTTAAAACTGTGGGGCTAGGGTTGTGACTCAGGGGTAGTGAGCTTACCTAGCATGTGCGAGGCATTAGGTTCAATCCTCAGCACCACATTAAAAAAGCATGTGAATAAAATCAAGTTTTAAAAAAAGAAATCTTAAAAATGTGGAAGGGATTAAAGGAAACAAGACATAAATAAAATGCCAGATGCTGTAGGATTCCAAATATGTGAAGTTAAAGAATAGACAGATGGAAGCTGTGGTGACAGAGTCATATGAGGAGCTCCTTGGCAGGCTGAGGAGATAATTAAGACAAGAAGAGGTAGCAGGGTGCCTCCTGGGGTGAGGGAAAGCTTCATATCTTCAACTGGGTGCTTCCTCAGGTATACACACATAGAAACTGTGTAACTGGAAACTAAAGATCAGTGCATTCAAGAAAAATAAAAAGCTGATCACAATGGCACACACATATAAATCCAGCAGCTCAAGAGGCTGAGACAAGAGGATTACAAATTGGAGGCCAGACTCAGCAATTTAGCAAGGATCTAGACAACTGAGCAAGACTCTGTCTCAAAATAAAAAATTAAAACGGCTGGGAATATGCCTCAGTGATTAAGCACCCCTTGGTTCCATCCCTACTAGAAAAATATTTCTACCTACGTAAAAACATTGTGTAAGGTGAATAGTTTTTTTTCTCTTCTCTCTCTCTCTCTCTCTCTCTCTCTCTCTCTCTCTCTATATATATATATATATATATA